ATAAGCAACACTGAGGGCCTTCTGAGCTTCTGGAATGTTGCTGAGGGTGCACAAACTTTACCAAGTGTTAAATGTGGCCAATCAAGGGATGGGACTCTTCCACTACAAGCACAAGCCACATGCCCAGTCTTCAGTTTGACATCTCAGCAGTTTCTGAGTCCTTCCTGAGCCAAGTCAGGCATGTGGTTTGTACTGAGTTAGGAATATAAGCTTCTACTGATTTTCTTTGCTGCTATTCTTAGAAGCTGCCATTTTCTCACACACGTGAACACAACAGGATTTTAACATGAATTAAAAAGTTAGAATGAACCAAGAAGTACACACATGTGGGTGGAGGGAGAGTGGACATGGGATATGGTGACATTGCACCTGAATTGAGCTAGTGTCCCGGTAGACTTTCCTGGGCACTGGAGAGCAAAGCACTTGAAGTAAGCAACCCTTTTCCAGGTGGTTATTTCCAGGTGGTTATTCTTTATTATCAACCAGCCAGGAGACAGGGGATAGGAGAAACTGCAGTTATGAGCCATGGTAACAGCTTTCTTACGAGAAGGAGAAAGGCTCATTTCTGTGTGACCATGTATGTGTGTTCTGCATGTATGTTCATACCAGATAGCCACACATCAGCATGTGTGGTATGCCAACATGCACGCATGTTACACTTCTACAGCTTTCAAGTCCTTCTGTTAAACAGTAAAAATTTCAAAAGCAGCAAATATGGGGCAAGAAACGTTTCTTTCTGGCATTTGTTGTAAGATACTGAGTCTTAAAATCACTTCTGTATCAAAATATTACCTAGGAAGCTCTTTTTAAAACTAGAGATCTTCTGGACACACCCTCGAACACAAAGTACTGAATCAGAACTTCCCCTGTGAGCCCACAATGGGTGGCACTTGGGAACAGATCCTGTATAGGGACCGGGGATTTAGCTCAGTGGTTCTACCACCTGCCCCACAAGCACAAGGTCCCAAGTTCGATCCCCTGTACCAAAAAAAAACAAAAAAAAACCAGATCCTGTACAGGTCACTTGATCAGCATTCGGTCCTCAGGTAAGCACACCTGCCCTTGGCTCCAAGTTATGCTCAGACGAAAGCCTGGTGTTTGGATAAGGGGTTTAAAACACATCATTTGGAGACCCTTCAAAATCTATCACTTCCATTTGGCCTGCACCAGGAAAGAGCACCCTTGGGGATGATGGCTGAGCTTCAGGAGCTGGTGGAGCCCTCTGGCAGGTTCTCCAGCAGAGCCAGAGCTTTGAAAGAGGATGCCAGTCTTCTTTTCCCAAGTAACATTTAATGAGCATTTATTATGTCACTAACATTTACTGGGCATTTACTATGGACCAGGTATTGAGTCACGTGCCTTCCTTTACTTGTTCTAAGAACACAGATGGGTAAAGCTCTTCTCATCCTATCTGGCAGATGAGAAAATCCAGACTTTGTCCTCGGCAACAAAGTACTAAGGGCCAGAGTCAGAAATAAGCCTGGGCCATCAGACCCCAAGGCCTAAGAGCCTGACCCCTGAGCCACATGCCTTCCAGTTGGCTCTATCACATGGCACACAATAAAAAGGAAGAGAGTCTTTGGAGAGAGAATTATTTTTAATCTCTACATTAACTTCATAACCAAATAGGGGGTGTTGCTTAACATAATGGGCTGCTGCCAGTGGTAGAGAAAGCGAGGAAACAAAAGAAAATAGAGGCCAAACATGTGGAACTGTGCATGTTACCTCTTTGTTCTCATGATACCAATTCATTTCAAGTGGGGGATTGGAATAATTGCTTAATTTGGGTGATTAAGGTGCCAAGTGCTGCCTCTTTTCTTTGCTCTAACTACAAAGAAGAACAATCCCACATCTGAGGTGCAGAGTGTTCACAGCCTCCTCTAATTCCCCACCCAATTTCTACTCTTCACAAAAGTCCTCCAGGTTCTCTGACATTAATAGGAAATGTATTCATGCGGTGGGGAGTGGGGCATCGGGGATGCTCGGTTCAGTGTTTCGTCAAAGCCTTCTCCATGTACAAGTCTGTTTCCTGCATTTAGGGAAAGCTCTGCTTTTTAGCCCCTTTCCCAGTCACTTCCACATTAATTAGTAAGGGTATCATTTTATAAATTACAGCTTTGTATCAGAGGAAAGCAGAGTTTATCTTAATTCAGTCAGCTGTGTGAAATACAGTACCCTAATTTTAGACCACCGCTTCCGCGGATCCCTGTGGAGAAAGAATGACAGGTCTTCCTGAGAGAAATCCCAGTGGGTCCCTACAAGTCTCACTTTTGACTCCCGTGGCATCTCTGGTGGGGCTTGCTGAAGGGATCCCAGGACACTGAGAGGCATCAATTCTGCCATTAGCAATTCACATTTGAATGCGAATCCTCCAAGCAGCACATGAAAGCAGCCCTGGTTAGCGCCAGACTCCGAGGGGCACAGCAAGAGGCTCTTGTACACACGAGGCTGACAGGGGCCCGGGCTCCGACAGCGATCTGGGAGGGCAGTGTTCAAGTCGGTGATACACACCAGACAATCCCAGTCTGGAAGGGGAAGCCTAACAGTCTTAACTACAATAGGGCAAACAGGCAGGACTTCAATACTGAAGCTCGATTGCTCCTGCTGGGAGCCCTCTGCAGAAATGCTATGCAGCAGGGTAGGGACAGCTGACAAGGCTGCTGGTTGTGGTGGGGCTCCCTGGTAAGACGACCTGCAGGAGTGCCAAGGTGCAAAGGAAAAGTAGCCTGGGGCCTAGGCAGGAAGCAAGCCAGACACCAGAGGTACACTCCTGACGCCATGCCTTCCCCTCACTGCCGCTCTCTTGGGCTTGCCTAACTTTTTCCTGTTACCTGCCTGTAGCATCTCAAACTCTGCGTGGCTGGAATGGGCTACCTCTCCACCTCTCATCACTAATTTCTGTCTGATGCTTTGCTTCTTCCTGCACTCAGAGACGGAAGCCTGAGCAAAATGACTCGGGAGAGCAGGTGAGGCTTAGTTAGGGTGCCCTTGACATGTGAGAAGCACCTTTGGCCCAAATCCCTCTGACTACACGGCAGCTGGATTCTAGAAATTCCCAGAGTCAGGGGATGGTCTAGACCCGTGGGAGCGGAGGTCCCCAGAGCCTCTGGAGTAAGGGGCCAGAGGTGAAGCCCAGGTGATGGCCCCTGAAGAAAGCAGCACCTTGGGGCACTTGGGTGTGTAGCCAAGCTCACAGTCACTGGGCAAGGCACAAAGAGTGCAAAATGGGCAGCCTCACCATCTTCCACTACTGCTGAAGATAAGTGATGTTTCTGAATTCACACTGTCTTTTGAAGAAAGATGTCTGCTTGCTGTTGAAACCCTGAATCTGGCTCATCCTCTTGCAGAAGGGCCACAGACTTGGAGAGTGAGATCAACCACTGCCTGTAGATCTCCTGAAACGGCCAGGGGTTCTTGCCCCTTCTGGCTTTCAGTGAGGCCCAACAGAATGAGGAGACGATTCCTGTGTGTGAATGTGACCTGGGGGCTCAGGTGGACAGGGACGATGTCTCAAATACGGAGCCATGACCGCTGTCCACTTGTCTCTGGTACCCACCGCCCTCCGACCTCCTGAGACACCAGGGGTTCAACTTGTAAGGAGCTGAGACTCCTGGGGGCTGGAGGAAGGAAGCTCCTACTTGTCAGTTAAACAAAAGAATAATCCACGGCCCCCTTTCCAGTGTGTACTTTCACTGTCATCCAACAGCCCATTACCATGTCACAGCACAGCACACCCTTCCATAGGTCACTTTGTTTAAAATGACATGGATAATGCACATGTCAGCAAGCTGACAGTCCTGGCCGTCCTTCAGAGATAAAAACCTCAAGGCGAGAGCCTGTTCTTATCTGGAAGACATGCATTGGTCTATCATCCAAGTCAGGCAGAACATGATTTCTCCAGAGAGCACTTTTTTCATTTCCTGATTTTAAGGAAATCAAATAAGCACCATTTGTCTTCATCTGAATATGCTTGACCTGCTCAAATGATGATGTCTCGCATTTTATAACAGGCTACATATGCTGAATTCAAATTAACGACAGTACATAACAAGAGCCTTTAGATCTCTCTTGAAGACTGGCAGCAGAGAAGGAGGAAAAACTCTGGGCTCGATGGAAAGAACTCACTAAATACTAACCACAGGACCCTGAGTGTAATCCACAAGCCCGTAGGAGGTCAAAGTCAAAGAACTGGGACCAGGACAGATTCAGAAATGGGGGAAGGAGTAGTCTCTCCTTCAGGTGCCAAGCATTTACAAACCACAATATTTAGGCAACTGCTTTGAAATATATAAATAGCAATTAAAGTGGAAAGAAATTTGGTTGGTAGATTGGTACAGCTAGAAAGAATGACCAAACACACAATTCCTTTGCTTCAGGTAGCAGAGAGCTCATTTTACCAGGTTATGATCCAATCTTCTGGAAGCCCAGAAACTGAGCTTCTTTTCTTCATCCACATGGAACTGGTGGCCAACAGCCTTGAGACAGAGGATGTACCTGCTGGAAGAACTGCCTTCCCACCTAGCAGCTCCCACCTGGCCTCCCTGCCCACCCCCAGCCCAGATGGCATTCCTAGAAACATGCCATGAGCATTTCTATTCAGAAGGAGATATATGGACAGAAAAGCAGGAGGAGGCAAATAGGTCAGCAAAAGGAAGGCAGAGATGACATCATAAAAACACAGTAGCAAGTTTCATCTCCCCGCCATGGATTGAAAAATAACTTCCTCTTTAAAAATGCTTTTTTTTGGTCTGTAAGTCATCTTCCACAAAGTGAAAACGCAGCATCCCACGTATGCAATGCTAAAGGGCTTATTTTTAAAACAGTGGCTCTGGTAAGTTAAAGACATTGCATCTGATCACAGGACATGTCGCTGTGTGGATAATGCCCATCTTTTGGAAGAGAAGAGGCACTGGCCACGTGCAGCTGGCTCCCTTCCCTGCGGGCACATGTGAGAGGACCACTGTGCTGTGCCAGTCTACGTGAGTGTGGGGGGGTCTTACCTTTTCTTCCTGGTCACTGTCACTGTCACACTGCAAATGAAGACAAGAGAACAAATGTCAGTGTTATGATGATGCTTTTGCTTTTGATCCCCGTCCTTCCAAGCAGGGCAAGAGGAGTAAACAGGAAATGTCTGAGCTGGAGAGTTTCCTTAGCTCAATGCTAGCACACAGCATCAAGAAGCACAGTTGTTCTGTGCGGTCCACCTGCTGCCTGTGCCCTGTTTTCTTCCTGGGCTCAGGGCATTGAGAGCTCAGTCACACAAACGAGCGGGGCCACTGCACACACAGGGCGCAGCCACGAAGGAGCCAGCACTGCACAGGGTGGAGGCAATCAAGATCCTTTCATGTTTCCAAGACAAAACCAGCTCATCCCAGACATGTTCTACCTTCAGCTTCTCTGCAAGGCTGTCTCTCTCTGTCTAAAGGACGGGGTAAACCTTTGGGCACTGCATTCTCTCATTTGGACTCTAAAGGAAACATAACATAATGAGCAAGGGCTACCACTTGTGATGCCCGAGAACAAAAGAACACTCCCTGCAGAGAACACACCGATGTAAGAGATGGGGCAATAGTGCAACAATATGGGCAAAAACATATATGCTTCACAGCAGTAGAGCCAACGTCCTATCTAACAAATTCTAAAGCCCAACTGCTGAGCTGGGTTTAGAGTAACCACAGTATGGTAACTCACAGTAGTGGGTTCCTCACCTGAAGAAAAGGAAAAAAAAAACCCACAACAATTTCTTATGAAATCCAAGAACATTTTGTTAATCAATATTAGACTAAAAACAGGGGCTGTGTTTTAAAAGAGAAAATACTCAGCAGATAAATATATCCATTCATCCCCTCAACAGCGCTTGAGAAGGCATTGCTAAGGTAGACAGATAAACAACCAAGATGCGGTATCTTTTCTCAAGTAGCTTTCCATTTTGCAAGAGACATAAGGTTAAAGCACAAACATGGAGCAGGGGTGTGGCTCGGTCAGCACTGTATTCCTTCAAGGTGATTTTCCATGGGATGCAGGACAGAACACACAGTGAGTGAGGAAGGTCAGTCACAGGGCAAGCAGTTCAGCAACTAGTACGCCATCTACACCAGGACAGTGCCTAGTTTTGGAAAGGGAGAAACAGATGGCAGAGCATTTCGGAAGGGAGAACCAGTAGGAATTGATAACTGAGGATATGGAAAGGAAGTGGCAGGGATGACTCTAAGAGGATGCCAAGTTTTTTAGTGTGGCCACCTGGTCTTGGAGTCAATATAGCTATGAACAAAAATGGAAAATAAATTTTCTCACTGGGAAGGCACTCACTGCTAGATAGATACCCAGGGCTGTTTACAACTCTCTCTCCCTAGTCTGTATATTCTCCTGACACTATGAGGTTGAAAAAGGCAGATACTCTCTGTCCTAAGTTTCTCTTACAGCTATTGGTATCCATAAGACTCACTTTTGGAATGTGAGATTTGAAATCTACTGAGGGCTCTAGAAAAAAATATCTCTATGAAATGAAAGGAGAAAGGCAGAAATAGCTGCCTGTTTCCCTCTCACATAACTATGAGAGTGTGAGGTCTGGTCCTGTGGCAGCCATCTTGCCAAACTGAGGCAAAGCCTAAGTACAAAAGCAAGATGGTGTGGCAAGGGATGAAAGGGCTCACATAATTGAGCCAGTGAACCCATCTCAGAGCATCTTGCCTCTGGACTCTTTTGGTTTAGAAAAGAGTACGTTATCTTACTGTTTCAATGATTATCAGAGTGCTTTCAATGGAAGGTAACAAAAGCCTCCTTCAAATGGACATCCTGCTAGTATAAGACACAATGTGGGGACTACTTCCTCTTCCCAGACTAAGTACTCTGTACCATAACCATTTAGGACCTTAAATTGCAATCTTACAGATCTTACAGACAAGAGGGTTATAACATTCTCTGCTTTTCCCTGTGGCTCCTTGGTGCCACAGGATTATCAGATACTGAGTGGCAGTGATTTTACCAAATACAACCACATCATCACTTCCCACCAAGCTTCCAATCTCAGATGGTTCAATTTTATGCTCTTTTGCCTGATCAGCAATTCTCCTATTACAGTAAGTCAAATGAGTTGAGAAAGAAAATGTATGAGATGAAGACTCTGAAGGCCTAGAACAGCAGATGGAAGAGGAGCAGTGTTCTCCTGATCGTGTGATCTCTCTGCTGCCTTTAATTAAGCCCTCCTAGAGGTTCCTAAGTTCTGGGCATAGTTTCAAGAGTGACAAAGTACGGGTCAGGAGGAGTGCAGAAGGGAGAAGATCATTTTGCCAGGCAGCCTCATTCTCCCAGCTGCTCACAGCTCTCCTTGTGCGGTAATCAATGACAGCTGAAGGCTGTGGCGTGGCAGTTGCCCACATCCCCACGGATCTGTGTGTGGGAAGGCGTGGGATACTGGGAAAGAACCAGTGCCCCCCACCCCCATCCTAACAGCAGTATGTCCCTGGGAACGGTTATTTCTATCAAAGTGTTAAGCTTCCTGCTTTCCAACAGTCCAGTTCTAATTTCAAGGTCCACTTAATTCTGCATCAAGTAATTACTGATATACCCAGAAGCACCTTGTCTCCAGAGTTAAGCATATGGCGAAGAACTGAGACCTACTGGTATCCATTATGGAAGCAGCACGGATGCCAAGCCGATTAAAAATGCTCAGGCTCCCCACACAACATGCCGGGTGAGTGACAGCTCCTAGACAAGGCCAGTCGCAGAGTCTGCCAAACAGTCTCTGCTGCGCTGGGGCCCACATGGTGCGCTGAGCAAACAGTTCCATTTCTGGTACTAAATTCCCATACTGACCCGAGGACTCTGCCGTGAGCTCAGCAGGAGCGCACCATCCAATTTACAGCTCCGCTCTCTGGAGCCTCGAGTGCCAGCCCCTGGCAGAGACGAATGATGGTCAACCCCTCCAGCTCATAAATTATGCAAAGGCAATAAATGCACTCAGCAAACAGCGCCTAACGTTTGCCTAGCCTGGCTCCGGAACACACTCTGTAAAAAGCCAGAAGCTCGACACATACAAGAGGTCTATTCCACTCATAAAGGGGGTTTGTTGACAACCCCAGACGGAAGGCAAGCCACAGTCCTGAGAAGGCGTTCTGCTTCACTGGCAGTGGTTTATGGGCCTGCTTTATGAAAAAAGGAGGCTGTTTTATAGAGTCAGTGTGGGGAGAATTCACGGTCTCAAATTCACATTTAATACACTGTATGGGCTTTCACATTTGAAGTTCAGTATGTTGTGGATTTTTGGCCAAATGATTCTTGGCCCTCAAAGGTTAAAAGAAGAAGTGTCCACTCCTCAGTCCCCAGATACCCACTCCAATTTATAAGAGTTCACACTGAACCACCTCCTGATTCAGGTTTATGATCTGCACGGGGATGGGAAATGGAAAAGGCATGTCCAGTGTGGAAATGGGGTCCCAGTTGGTTTGATCATTTTAAGCATTTTGACACCGGGGTCCTGCTTTGTTTTATTAGCAAACAGGTTGTACACCGACTACCAGCTTGAGGTGACAAAGCATTCTCCATGACAAGATTTCAAAGCCCTCTGCAAGAAGCTGAAATTATTTTCCTCCATCTTAAAAGCAAGAAACAAAAAGAAACAACTAGCCCTTACACCATCGACAGGGAAGGGTTCTTGGTCACTGGGTCTTCGGGCTAAGACAGGACACAAAGCACCACAGACAAAGGAGGAAAATGGGGTGGACGTAACCCCAGTGAAAGGCTTGCACTGCACAATTAGGAAGCCACCAAGTCTTAATCCAAGTCCCAGCCATCCCAACACGCTTACCACTCAGCTTCATTTTCACCTTCTCCTCCCTGTTGTTTCCTAAGTTAGACATGAACTGCTCGAGGCGCCATCTTCCTTTCTCAGTCACACCCTATCCCCTCAACTCCTCTAACCACCAGCCACCAACCCCCTTAAAAGTGTATATATATATATATATATGTATATATATATATACACGTATATATATATGTGTATATATATATACATGTATATATATACGTGTATATATATATATATACATGTATATATATATGTATGTTTGGGTTTTTTTTTGGTACTGGGGATCGAACTCGGGTCCTTGTGCTTACCTAGCGGGGGGCGAAACCACTGAGCTAAATCCCTGGCCCCTAAAAGTATATATTTATTGGATACATTCATTAAAATTGCACCTAAACTTGGGTAGACACTGTTAACATATTAGTATAATTTCTTCCAGTCTTTTAAGGAAATATACAATTTTCACTCTTCATGTTCACATTTAAGAAATAAAAATGAATTCCTAATATTTTTTAACTGGCTTTTGCTTTCAAGTAACATGTCAGATATTTTGATTCAGTCAATAATATTTGCCCTGGAACATCGCCTTTTTTAAAAAATGGCTATACTACAACTCACTGTATGGACTGTACCATAATCTAATAAAAAAAAAATCCCTAGTGCTAGTATTTAGATTGTTTCAATGGAATATCCTGAAATTTTTCCCTTTGTACACATTCACCGATATTGCTCCTTCCCAGTATTTTTCCACAGCCCCTTTTTCTGCATATTTTTAATGCCATTGTCTCCCCAGAGTTGCATTTGTAGTCCTATTGTTTCTATGTGATTTACAGAGGAATCCTTAAAGATTCCCTTGATTCCAGCAACCATTTATATGCTGAGACTAAAAAATCTCTATGCCCACATCTGCCAGCAGTGTGACTTTGGGAATGTTCTTTAAACTGTCTGTGCCTCAGTTTATTACTCTGTAAAATGTGGCTGCTAATTTTTGAAAAGAAGGAGAGGATACAATGAGTTGATACATGGAAGCAACACAGATGATGGCTGGTAGAGAGTACACATGATGATGAATGGTAACTTTCCATTTGCTGACTGCAGATATTTCAGACTTAAATACCCATCTAAATCTGGACTCTGTACCTTTTGCTCACCTCCGATCCGTGGCTCCCCCATGCTTTCGTGGAAAGAGCACCACCAGGTAATCACTCAACTGTGAAAGCACAGACC